CAATACGTTCTAAATCGGTGTTTATAGTAAGGATTGCGTTATTTATATGGTCCAGTCGTTCCATGGAATAAATTTGAAGATCATCTGCGTACAGGTGGAAGGAAGAAGTAAGTTTGTGACTAATCGAATTAATAAAAATTGTGAATAATAAAGGAGATAGCACACCGCCTTGGGGTACGCCGGCAGACACCAAACACCATGATGAAAGAGATTCATCAAAATGTATGCGCTGTCGGCGCCCATGTAGATAACTACGAAACCAGTCAGTTACCGTTGGAGATATGTTTAAAGAACCGAGGATAGCCAACAAAATATCATAGTCAACAGTACTGAAAGCATTGCTGAAGTCTAGCAATGTCAACACTGTGAGCATTTGTTCCTCCATACCCGCGCGAATGTCGTCAGAGATTTTTACAAGAGCAGTGGTGGTACTGTGTCCAGGTTTAAATCCGGATTGGAGAGGATTAAGGAACTTATTGCGAACAAGAAAGTCATTCAACTGCCTATAAATAAGACGCTCCAAAGCTTTGGATAGAAAAGGTAGGATGGCGATTGGACGAAAATCAGAGACTGAGGTGGGGTTTGGTTTTTTTGGAAGAGGGATTATCAGCGCATCCTTCCATAAGTGGGGAAAAATACCTGATGATATAGATTTATTAAAAATAACAGTAATAATAGGGGTTAAAATGTCCAGAGTATCATATTGCGACTGATATCGTCATCACCCACAGCCGAAGAAGCGATAGCTCGTATATTTCTCTCAACATCACAATCGGTAAACTGACTAAAAACAAAAACTGGAAAATCAGGAGCAGGTAATAGTGAAAGTTGCGATAAGGTCTTCTCTTTGACTTTACTATCAAGAAATGATTATTGTGAAAAATGATTATTTAGAAGATCAACATTAATATTATCTGGAATTTTATCTATTTTTGGCTTACCCACTCCCAAGGACCTAAGAAATTTCCATACTTTGGCTGGATCGCCGTTTTCTACTGATTTATGAATGTGGCGCCTTTGTGCATCCCTACACACCCTGTTGCAGCGATTTCTGATGATATTATATCGGTCTCGATTTTGGTCAGTCGGGGCACTTTTGAAGGTAGCCTTTGCTCGATTCTTCTTATGCATAAGGGTTTTGATGTCGTCAGTTAACCAAGGCGCCGAAAGATGCCTTACTTTGATAGATCGAACAGGAGCATGCACGTCGAAAAGATCAATCAAGATGTCGTTCAGCAGTTGCACTTGGTTATCAACAGATGTTGCATTACTAATAACAGACCAATCGATCTTCTCGGCATCAGCACGGAGTTTGCCAATGATTTATATTATTCTTATTCTATTTATATTGGTAGTCTGGTAATCTCTTATTATATAATGTCATGAGCGACAAAGAGAATCGTTTAATTATTCCATACTAATATTACTTATTTAACGAAAGTAGGTCTGTATATATGTCGATTAAGCTCTCACGCCTAAACTACTAAAAATAGTAGACTTGAGATACCTTTGTAGTTTGTATAGAAGTTAGACATTGTCAAAGTAAAATCATGAAATTTATATTCAGGTACGAATAATATTTGTTTTAATGTTTTTATAAATGTTGCCCAAAGTAACTTTACCACACGGACGAAGTCGTGGGTAAAAGCTAGTTAGTTATAAACCTGACTTTACATATAGGCTACTATTTTTCCTTTAAAGCGGTTCCATAGATATGTAAACAGAACACAGAAAAGAGGTATATAGTGGACGACCCTGTAGCCGTGTCCGCAAGCCGGTTTCAAGGTGACGTCATCTCTGAGCTCCCATATTCGATCCCTTGTCAGGACAATGTTTTTTGTATATTTACTCGGGTCTGGGTGGTGTGGTACCTTCGTTGTCTCAGATACTCCATAATACTGGCAATACTCATCTTGGCATCTGATCAATGTAGATATGTGATGTTGTCTAATATTAAAAAAAGTACGAGAGCGTAACCAGGGGGGGATAGCTAGTGACTCATATATATTAAAAAATAGTATTTCATAATTAAAATTTGCTGATATAGATTCCAGCATACTCAGTCAACTGGTAAATTCTTCACTGGCTATTATACCATTTTTGTAGAAACCACTCAATTATATATAAATGTCCGAGTTGACCACGTGGACCTTCAATAATCAATTAACAAACGGTCAGTTGCACGAACGTCGATTAAGGTTTAATGACTACTTTAAGCTCTAATGAATGTAAAATTTGTATCGTAAAGTTGCTTTAAACTAATGAAAGTTTTAATGGAAGTTAGTGCAATTGGTTGTAAGATGTTTGGGAATTGGGGAAATAAATTATTTTATCGCCTTCACAATTTAATTTTTAAACGTCTTTACAACTTAAACTCAACATATAGTGTTGTATGATCCATATATGCCTAAATATTTTTCGTCCATCCACTTTCTTGAGGCTGATAAATATCAATATTAAATTAGTGTAACTTCTCCATCACAGGAAAAGTATTTTTCTCTGTTTTCTCTAACAGTAAATATTGAGAAATGACATATATCTAATTATATTAATGGACGTAGCTGTTCTTTTGTTAGGTTAGTTTATAGTGTGAGAATGATTATTAGCCCCGTTCCGCATTTCAAATAAATGTACCATGACCGGCTGTCATTAATAAAGTTATAAATAATAATATCAAAAAAAAAGATCAAAATCATAAGATCAGTAGCTCATAATCTCAACACTACAAAATGCCAACAGTAGTACCAACCTGTGGCGCAACGTCCTCGCAGTGTAACCTGCCACTTTAATGCATTATATCTAGCCCATTCTGAGTAGCTCAATGTTGTAGTGGATAAGTACTGCGGCCCGCGAACGTTGTTGTTAATCAACTTTCGTAAGCGTCGGTCACGAGTTGGGTGACCAAAAAATTATTATCTCGAGCCTTGCTTTGGATGGTATTTTAAGCCGTTGGTCCCTTCCAATTACCAAAGTTAATACCTTCCAATCAGCATACGGCCAGCGTGAAGTGTCATGTCCTATCCTCCTTTACCATCCATAAGGAAGGCCTGAGCCCCTACAACGTAACAGGCCTGATGATGATGATGAAGGTCTTGAGTATTACCAGGCATGGATTGGTCCTAAATTTCCCCAACAACGGCACGATGCTAATGTAATCAGTCACATATAAAGCCACGACTAACGCAATTAAAAGCCTTTATACGTACATGAAATCATTTCTAGCTAGTCTAACTACTTTTATTTTTTAAGCATTCAAAGTTTCATAGATTTTTTTTTGCTACTTTTTATGATACTCGCATAATGTTAGAACACGCAAAGTGGCGTGACAGAAATATAATTAAAAAAAAAATAACGTGTTTCAAGCTTCACAACACTCGCTGGTATTCACTGGCAACTGGAGTTTTATATATTTTTTTTTTCTCTTTCTGAAATGAGTTCCGCTATCTGGAATCTAAATGATACAATTCTCCTTGAAGTGTAGGTAAAGGAATATTTTCCTTAGTAACATAGATAATATGTACCTAGATGAGTGGTAATATGAAGCTATGAACGGTTGTACGCAATTGAGTGGTTATTTATGTGATGGATTGGCGAGTGGATTAACCTAGACCACGGTTTTTTATAAGTGGGGAATGCGAGGGTAGGTGGTTTACGTAATTGTGGCTCCTAAAGTTATTCTCTTAAAATCACATTAATATTAAAGAGTTTTTTCTTTTGGCAATGTATTACATATCTTTTATTTCAATAAAAACCATTTTTATTATTTTGGGGGCGTGGAATCCCATAAGTAATCATTTATTTAAAGGAATTGCTGTCATTTGGAATCTTTTACGGGGGTCCGTGGAGCCAAAAGTTGGAGCAACTCTTGCCTATTCAAATAAGCGGTTCAACTTGGAATGAGAAAGAAAAAAGATTCGAAATGAGGTTATTTTGACAATATTGAAATTGCTAAAATGAGTACCACCCATGTAAAGTTAGAAATAAGTTTCTAAGTTATTTATCTATTTTTGTGCTTATTTTACGATTTATTAGGTATTTAACTATATTTAGTATAGAATCACTTTCTATACGTTGATTTTAATTAGTAATAGAATAATCATAGCATTGTTTTTTTCATTTGAAGGCCAGGGAGATTAGTAAATAGTAATAAATCTAAATGTAATTGTGTATGTACACTTTGATGGAAGAAGATTTTTCCATAGTAGATGAAACGAAATGTAGCAAACCGTCATTGGGTTTAAATCCCGTTGGGATAGCGTAGTAGAGGTGGTTAAATTAGCACTTAGCGTGTGTACATATTTCATTTATTTTATTTTTATTTATGCGTTCAGTTCAAAGATCAACATTTAATATATAACGTGCTATGAGATTTAGTGTACTGCTTGATTTTATGCGTTTATTGCGCACCCTTTTTATTATGTACTTAGCGTGTTAATTATTAACTAGCACGCTATTATTTCTTAGCATTTAGTCTCATCGTGTTAATGTATCTTAGTCGTTTTGAACAACTCTATAGTGTAGCAAATCGTCATTTTAGGATCTAAAATCTGTCAGTACTATTAAAAATATATCAGCCTTTCAATTTTTATCCTGACATTACCTTAAGATTAATTTCTTGATATGAAATAAGTAAAATAAGCTATTTTTGAAATATAACACATACTAGACGCGAAAATGGACAAGATTTTTTGATATCGAATCTGTATTATAATGTTTTGAGAATTTAATAACGTTTTTAGAAAACTAGTGTCTTAGGTACAAGCAAACGAATTAGTATACTATTTCTGAGCCATTCCACAGCAAATTAAGCTCATACTAATCCTAATGCAGACACACTCGCATTCTTTAACTAATATTTATTTTATTTTATGTCACATTTACATTACTGACTAACAATTCTGTTATTTAGCACTGAAATATACATAAAAAGTTTGTTTAAAACACAAAGTTTGTAGGTCAATATAAGCTTTCACAAAGTGAGTATGTGTATCCAAACTTTTATAGCTACTTGTTAGTCTGGATTGAAGTTGTTTTGTCGATTCACATTAATTCTACACAAGTACACAGTGGAGTAGCTCGGTGGCGTAGTGGATTAGCGCCGCGGCCCGTGATCGTAGTCGTTAAGCAACTTTCGCAAGGGTCGGTCACGGGATGGGTGACCAAAAAATTATTATCTCGAGCTACTCCGTGCTTCGGAAGGCACGTTAAGCCGTTGGTCCCGGCTGCATTTGCAGTCGTTAATACCCTCCAATCCGCATTGGGCCAGCGTGGAGGGTCATGGCCCATCCTCCTTAACCATCCATAAGGAAGGCCTGAGCCCCTGCAGTGGGGACGTAAAAGGGCTGATGATGAAATGAATGAAATGAAACACAGTAGAAGAAGCAAATAACAGAACGAAAGTAATTAGTCAGCTCAATTTAATTAGTATAGTGATTATAGTTTCGAGATTTCCATTAAAAATCTGTCTACACTGTATATCTTTAACCGTTAACCTATAAGGAATTGGAAAAAAATGTTGATTTCTCAATTCGAACCCTTAAGATTAACGATACACTTACCGACGTAGCCCTTCCTGTATTTTAAGTGAATGTTAGCCTTCAATCTGTTGATATTTATCGGAACACATTTAAAACGGGGCATTTGCAACATTTTTATTATCACTGCAAAATATGCCATATTTTTTAATGAATATGATTAGCGAGAACATAAAGGTATAACACTTTAATAATTTATTGAGATACAGCATTAAGTTCTTGATTAGATGAGGTTAATACTTATAACGTTACAATACGAGAGACGAGAAGGCATCCCCACTTCAACCTTATTTGAAAAATTAAAAACATTTGGACCTTCTTATTTTTAATCTATTCTAATGTTATAAAGAGGAAAGATTTAATTGTTTGTTGGTACTGAATAGGCTCCGAAATAACCGATTTTTAACATTCTTTCACCTACGGAAAGCTACTTCACCAAAGAAATACTGTACTTTCAATGGGCTATTCTGTGAAAGGAATGGTTATAATTTTCACCGTTTTTTATGATGTCCGCAGTAACTTTTCCAATATCGTAGCGTATTTCATGATGTAAACTGTCTTTTGGCTTTGAATTTTGAGCACAAAGGGTAATTTGAATAAGTTTGTTTATACTACTTAATAACATATTCCCTATTTAAATGTGTAAACCAAACAGGAGTCATGTGTTTTTGATAACAATTAATGCAGCTTTTTCTACATAAAGCAAGAAATAAATGTATTTATTTAACGACCCCGTGAATTTCGTAGTATATTATTGTAATATCTGTAGGACTGCCATATTTGTGTGGGAAAATGTGGTTTACATTATTTTACATTCAATAATTCAACAAACAATTTTCTAAAAAAAAAATAGAATTGGTCTAGTCGTTCTCGAGTTTTGCATCTAGCATTACATTCGGAGTTTCATTTTATTCACATAGATAATTATATGAGTGTATGTAATCCAATCTATATCTATAAAAACTTATAAACAAAGTTAGTTTCTAACTTTGTTGATTTGTTCGTTTGCATGGGGTAATCTTCGAAAACACCGATTCGATTAGAAAATTCTTTCACATATAGGTTATATAGAGATGATATAGACTATAATTTACGCGGGCAAGGGAATATAGATCATTTCGTTTCTGGATAGATTTTGACATATTGTCAAACAAATAAGTTCATACACGAAGTTGTAAACGTAAATTATAACTTTATCTTATTATTCTAAATAACATTTACAACATACAATGTAACTAAAATAATTCAGTTAAAATTATATGTATATCATAACATAATTATAAACGCTTGCTAATGTAATGAGTCATGAGTAGTGATGTTATTTATTTGTAGAGTTCTTTTAATTTTCAATTCAAGGCTGAATGATTATTATTCTGTTAAAAGTTATCCATATAAATTGATGAGCATTAATTAATGGTAGCTTTGACGCATTTAAATCGACAACTCAAGGGAATTTTGTTGGGAGGGTTATTAATTATTATGCAGACCGTACTAAGCTGTAACAAGCACATAAAACTGTCATGTTGTTATAGCAACGTTAATGTTCCTGAAAGCTCTTTATATTGTTTAAAGAAGTAATTCTTTTACGAAAATTGTATCCAAAGATAATAAGGTCAATCACCATCAAAAGTAGAGAGATATTCAAAATAAACTGGTAAAAAAATTTTTTTTCCTTTATTTGGTTTGTCAAGAATTGTTACAATGTTTCTTATGTACTAATATTTCGGTAAATTATAAACTTATTGCAAAATATTTTTCTTACCTGACTTTTGAAAATAACTGAAGGCTAAAAATATAAATCACGCTACTTTCGGCGACATATTAGCGGAGATAATAGATCTCCGCTTACTACGATCCTGACATATACTTTTTCTACATTCATCAATCACTGCATGCTTGGGTTCTGGTATTTTTCAACTGACTTTTATTTAGACAGTCGGTGACGTTAATTTTATCGGCGTTCTATGAGAGCAACGTATAAAACATAAGTAGAATGTATTTCGAATAACTTAAGAAAAAACGCACGGTCTTTGATTTTGTTACTTTATCTATTTAAATTCAATATTACTTATTTAGTTAGCACTTGTGAATGTGTAAATCTATATCATTGGATAAATAATTGAAACGAAACATGTGTTTATTTATTTATGATTGAATAATGTTATAAATTTTATAGCTTTGCGCCTTTAAACTTTAACGGTTAGACTAGGCGACGAACATCGCTTATGGCGTATATATTCACAAGTTTAATAATAACAATTTTATATGTCAATGCCAGATGCTGGACAACATCGCATATGTTGTTAAGATCAACAAACTAAATAGCTAAAGACCTTTCGTTTTTATTAGGTTTTATTATAAAAGGAGAACTAACTTCAGTAGCTGTTGGCGAATTCTGATAATATTTACGTAATTATGGCATCTAAATATATTCTCAACTACCAATATCATTATGTCTGTCCTGTCCATTATGTCGATTCTCCCGAATTCGAATTTGTTCATGTGTCCTAATTCATGTTATTTAGTGTAGAATTCTATTAATTATATATTAGTAAAATACAAAGCAAAATTGATTGTGTCACTGATATTCTGTTTCTATGTCAATTAGAAATTCACTTCACTTATGTCACGAAACGTTATTTTAAGGTTGAGCGGACACCGCTTTTTGAAGTGTATTCAGACACCTGAGTGAATTCGAATTAGGGTTTAGATTTGTACTGAATCGCAGGGCTGATCTGTGAGGGAGACAAAGCACTAACAATATTGAACATCAGGTAAGTAGCAAAATATAAGTAGTTGTGATTATTTTAAGGTGCAATTATTACTTAACATTAGTAGAATAGGCATACTGGAGTAACCATTATCCGACCAAAATATGTCAACATGTCACAACTTAGCGTTTTCTTTCCTGTCATTGTCTATATGCTTTAGGCGGCCATTGGTTTAAACTGACTTTAGAATAGGTATGTAATGAGGCGGATAGTGTTATGCAAAAATAAAACATTTTAGTTGAACGAAACCCGAAACGATATTGGAAGGTACAGTCTTCGGCCCGGCTGGGTATCGAACCCGAGCATTAACAGATGGCGACAGGCATCTGCTTGAACCCTGTGAGGTTCTCGTCCATGGAGGTCGTATTGTATTTTGTAAGTATCTATTTTCCCGTGACTTTACCCGTAAATTATAGCCATGTTTCCCCCTTATGGTGTAGCTTTACGTAGGTTAATAGAGTGTGAAGTTTTAGGTTAGCTTTTTTAGTATTATCTAAATATAACATTCTGTTTTTTTATCACATTAACTTCTGTGTCATATAATAACATTATAGAGATAGCGTTTGATATATTATAAAAACTCTTATTTGTTGATTTTACATACGTCAATCTGGCAAAAGGGACTGATGTCACAATGCTACAAATAAACCACAATGTATTTGCATATATATGAAGTCCAGTCACGGAGGCAACGATCGGACTCCCGAGGGATTGACACTAATTGTTATTGTTTGTTGTTTGGAATGCCCATGGGATGACCCACAAGGTATGACTTGACCTTTTAGTCGGAAATTTTGGAAATGTATTATTTTTTAAGATACCGATTAAGTAAAGATATTTTTAGTATGGAAAAAAATATATTACACTACTTATCAGAAATTAAATAAAGCAATTGTGCTACATTATTTGAACTTCTATTGTTTGTGAATCATTTATTATTTTATCATTGTAACTCATACTTCCGTTCACCCTGTCCAATGATAAATATATCTATTATATGGATAAATCGACTTGTACATGGTCTTTTAACAAAGTCATTTCAATACATTATTCTACATGATTTTTTTTTGCAATTTTCTTTTCATTATCATGACTAATAAGAATGTCCGAGGTGATAATAATAAATATGTTACAATAAGCAATTTTGGTATTCGCAAGGGCCGGTTACAGGATGGGTGAACGAGTCTCAAGCTCCAATGCGCTTCAAAAGGCATGTTAAAGCGTTGCTCCTGGCTTGGTCCTGATCACATCTGCAGTCGTTAACACCCATCAATCCGCACCGGGCCCGCTGGTGTTCATGGCCTGATCTCACTATTCGATTTTATTCAATTTGTAGGGAAGGCGTGTACCCTAGCAGTGGAGACATTAATTATCATCACCCCTTTTACGTCCCCACTTTAGGGGCCAACTTTCTTTATAGATAGTTTAAGAGAATGGGCCATGACGCTGATGACCACGCTGGCACAATGTGGATTGGAGCGTATTAACCACTGCAGTTGAAATCGGGACCAGCTACTTAACTTAGCTTCCGACGCACGGACTCGTTCGAGATAATATTTTGGTCACCCATCCCGTGACCGATGCTTGCGAAAGCTGTTTAACAACAACGAACGCGAGCAGCGGCGCTTATCCACTGCACCACCGAGCTTTGATACATCAATAGGCTAATGATAAAGCAATTTAGGTATATAACTGATTATGAGATTGTTTTTATTACGAGTATCACTTTTAAATATTTTCGACGGATATTATTTACAATCAAAAGAGTAATAATACTCGTAGAATATGGATGAAATATTATAACTAAGTTTAAAACATCTGTAAGATTCATAGAACTGGTTAGACTAAATTTTAATACCGATTCAAGTCTACTTTACAATGCTCCCTAAAATTAAGAGTGTCCCTTAATAACTTACAAAGATAAGTCTTCTGTCACAAGTTTGTTGGCAATGAGAGTTTTCGATCCACAGATTTGACTTGGTTGGCTCATTTATCATGAATAAAAAGCTCATTTTACGCTCTAGCGGCTTGTGTCCTTCATACGATAAATTGGTGTATAGAACCAACGACATAAACTTGTACCTTTTATGTAGAATACTGAAAAGGATCGTTGTTTGTGTGATGAATATGTGTTGTCGAGTCATTTGTCTTTTCAGATGTACTCACTTATAGTTGTAACACAATTTAACATGTGAAGGGAAAACTGCTAGTTTGTTAAATACGAATTCGTTTTCAGAGCGCACAGAGGCATTGAGCGGTCGCCTGTCGAAGTCAGCATCGGAGTTGTCATGTGTAACGAAAGCGCCGACCTCCCCACCACCACGAGCGCGCTCCGCACACCACCACGCTCCACTGTCCGTAGTGCACAGGACTCAACATTTCTTCACAAATTTAAAAGTAAGCTACCTGTACAAAATGATACCTGTTTTTATTAAACTTAGGTGTCGCCCAAATCTGTCGCCTAAATATTGTATATTTTCTCGCAAATTAGGCATCATTTTACAAAAAAACTTTATTGTGTAATTAACTAATTAGCTTTTCCATAATTTCATGCATATAGTTGACGGCATAATATTTAAATAATTTTCTTTATGTATAATATTAACCTATGATATTCGCCATAATACGAAAATACAGTCCATGAAACGAAATAAATATATCAAAGATTTTCCTTATTGCCTACAGAACGTATTCTTTGTATAGAAGAATATGGAATGTACTCCTTACTAGATTCTCGTAATAATATTATTATACAATTCCAAGTAACTGAATAGTATTACAGTAAAGGGAAAACTAAACGTAAATAAAATCATTTATATAAATTATATAGTGGCGACTTCATGTTTTCTTTACTTTAAACTCTTCCTTCAAACTTGTTATTATAACATGGTACAAGGCACGTACAAGGGTTACCTTGAAAAAGTGTTTACCAATAAATTATAAGCATGTCGTACTTTTCAATACGGCAACGGTTAATTCTAGGTATTATGAAACTTGAAAACTTTTTACAATTTATGGTGTGCAAAACGTTGTCTATAATGCTGGGCCAGAGGATTTCCTGGACATAATTATGTCAGTTGGTCTTCCACGTATACAAATTGGTTTTGGATTTGGTTGGTGTTGGATTCAATCAAATCGCACTCGACGTTCAACAGTATTTTGATTGAACCCAACGTTAACCAGATCGAAGCCAATGTAATTACGCAGTTGGCCTGCAAGTCCAGTGCAGAATGGTGGTTATTATCAAGTGCTGATGCAAGCAATATTATTTTAATTACAGAGGAGTTCAAAATAACAAATTTTCGGTCACTCATACGATGAATGAGCTTTGCGAAAGTAGTTTGAAACCAGCAATCGAGCTCCTCGTTAGTGAAATACTTATACTTACTAATGGAAGTTACTTAAAGCCTTAAAAGCAGAGTTTTTTAATGTTCTCTTCTTAGTATTAAATTAAATTTCGCTCGGGCTTTAAGTGCCTTTGCCTGAGTGGGCTTAAGATTTTCACGAGGACGACGTGGAGATACTTTCAAGGTCGCAGTTGAGAAATCGAATAATGAAGGGAGCATTTGTGATAATGATATAAGGAAAAGGGACATCTTCACACCTGTCTTTGTTGAAAAGAAAATCTTTTTTGTGCAGACAAATAACGCTTATTTTTTCCTCTAAAAATACTTTCTTGAAAAGAAGTTTGTTTTACGTATTATACTGGTCCGGCCTGAGTTTATATTTCGAATATAATTAAACGATAGTCATTTCGGTTCGTGTCATTATTTGTGTTAGAGTAAAGTATATTATGAAGTTAATTGAACGCTCAATATCACTTGAGTGTTCATGCTGTTTTGCTTGTCATCTAAGAGTCAGTAAGAGCGATATTTAGATTGATTTCCTTATACCAGTTAATTCTCTTTGAAGAACAGCTCGATGGCGCGCAGTGGTTAAGGATCTGCGATACGGCTGTTAAATAACTTTCACAAAGGCCGGTCATAGGATGGGTGGTCAAAAAAATATTATCTAGAGCTCATCCGTCCTTCGGAAGACACTTAAGTCGTTTGTTCTATTGCCTGAACATTGAGTCGTTGGTTCAATGTTCAGGCAATTTACCCAAACAAAAAGTATAGCATTGTGAATGCAAAATTGATCAAATATAATAATGAGAATAATATTTGTCTACATCTTCACAATGTATCTCTTGCGGGATCGACAGAGAACCACGTGCATCAGGGCACTGACCTTATAAGTCACTTCCAATTCAAAAAGTCGTGGCCTTCCTTGGCTTCTATATCCTTCTACTTTCAAGACTGTGATGAACGTAGAATATATTTGTAGAGTACATTCGTATCGAAGAGGTAAGAAAAACAGAAACATGCTCCGTTGTTTCGGGTACGTGAAAAGTGCCGGATGAATAAATGACAAAACTGATTCAAATAATATCTTTCATATATCTGTATGTGTAAATTTGTATAGAGTCGATGGCAACGCAGCAGGAGTCGGGAACGTTGTCCGGCTGGTACAACGTTCTCTCTAGCTCCAGGCCCCGACAGCAGTGGAACAGAATATGCGGCAGACCAGAGCTCAGAACACAGCACACCAGCTAACTCACCGAGACACAAGGGCAGAAGAGGTATGGATAAATAGACAGATACTGAACATTTTTATTTTTCAATTACAACACACAATTACATCACATAGTAGATATATCCATGACAAAAAGAGACATGAAGAACAAGAAATAGAAATATCACCAGCCTAGGCTCGGTGCACTAAATCACCTAATGCAGATGAAGCACCGATTTTTAGCCGACATCCTGAATGAGATGAACGGAAACAAAATAATTTTTAAGTTCAGTTTATAAATAGTGTCAGTAATAATACTAATATAAAGATAGAATCGGTTCTCCTAATCGACTTTTATCACATATAGCGATCCTGTGTTATCCGTTTGGATCAACGTAAAAAAAATTCAAATCGTTATTTATGATTTTAATCCATGTAAGTTGGTCCTGATCATGTGGTCCATAGATCTCCTCATGACATGGCCATACAATCGCAGTCATGTTTCTGTTACTTTGTCTGGGATAGGTCTGATGATTGTAAGGTATGAATGAAAGAGTATGGACTGTAACTATAGGTTTATAAGATACAAGAGTAGCAGCCCGACAATAATTGATACGCGCGGTGTCGCGTGCGGTCATGGAGCGAGAGTGACGTTGTCGCGGCCCTCGGCCAGTGTCGAGCCCGCTCCTCCTCCTCTTCACCCCATGCCTCAGACTCGCCCGCGTGCCCGCAGGCAGTGTTGTCACATCCAAGGTCTAACCTTAAATGTTCCTCTTATTAAAAACGTATAGTTTCGTATCTTGTCCAGAAGAGTGACTCCCGTGGCCCATCTTTGAGGTCCCGGGTTCGATTCCCGAACGGGTCAATGTAGAAAATGAACTTTTCTATCTTGTCTCGGATCTGGGTGTTGTACTACCTTTGTTGTCTGAGATACTCCATAATACGGGGGCTTTAGCTTACTCATCTTGGAAGTTGAGCAATATATGTGTTTTCTAATATTTATAGTGTGACCGGTATCTGCCAGCAAACTTGCAGTGCATGTATTCCTGGCTAGGATTTCCATTAGTATAATCTGTAAATAAGCCGACCCAAGTAGCTTGGTAAGTCCGGATTTGCAAAGATAAAATCCGGAGATAATCTGCTGAACGCCCGTTACCTTCAGATGTCGTATCAAAGAGGGCATGAATGGTACCGGAAATTCATGAGGACTCACAAAGATTACATAAAAAAAGACACAAAGTATAACAAAGTTCAAATAAACAGTAATATTATTGTAAAATGAAAAGCCATTTTTTTTAGAAATATCCACTATAATAAACCATAGAGTTGAAATCACTGACACAACTATACTCTTGGGCTTGACGCTCGACGAACATTGCCACTGGAAGTAACATATAGATAATGTATGCACAAAAATAAATAAATTCGTTTTCGCTTTGAATAGAATCAAGAAATTGGCATCCACTGAGACAGCTTTAAAAGTATATCATGGATACGTGTCTTCACTATTACGCTACGGTTTAATGATATGTCAGAGGGTATTAAAAGCTCAAAATAAGTGCATTAGAGCAATTTGCGGAGTTGGTAGTCGGGAATCATGTAAGTCACTATACATAAATCAGAAAATTCTAACAATGTTCTCTATGTACATATGTATATTGGAGCTGTGCTTATTTATCAAAAAATACCCCGAATATTTTAAAATGAATTTCGAAACAAAATCAATTGCACGTAGTATTACGATAAAAAAAATTGTTATACCCAACTGCAACTTGACTATATTCAAGGAAAATGAATTTTACATGGACATAAAGATTTTTAATAAATGACCACTTAATCTAATAGATCTGCACATAAATAATAACATTTTCAAAACAATATTATATCAATGGGTTTTAAACAGGAATTTGTATTCGACTCGAGAATACATGGAATCTAAACATAAGCATTGTAAGAATAGTGATTAATATATGTAATTTAAATCCTCATGAATATATAATAATACTATTTATTGACAATAAGACTGGCATAAATATAGAAACGTAAAATATAATACTAAAATGTATGCGGAATGTATTTAATATAGTTTTTTTTTATATTGTTACTTTTTTATTGAAATTTGCATGTCTACAAGAATAAGGTGGAATAAAGTTTGGATTTGAAATATTGTATAATATATATTGTTGAAACACCCCAATGTAAAAAAAAAAACTTTACTTTGACTAAAACAATATTTTTTTATCGTAGCCAACACGTAGTAAAACTAACCCGCAAAACAAAATTGTTTAGCTTTAGCTTCCATTTTTTTTCTGAAATACTAAATACTTTGTAACTCAGCCTGGTACATGCATATGGTTTTAGAAATATTAATTAGACAGCATAGCTAACGCGCTTGTATTATGGAAATTTGAAACAACAATGTACCTGTAACACAATATTCAGATCAGAGACAATATAGAAAATTTCGTTTTTTACGTTGACCAGGCCGGAAATAAAACCTTCAAATTGTAGACCTACACAGTAACGGAGCTTTTCATGGAATAATGGTTTTCGAGTAAATTAACAAAAATATTTCTAACACAATATTCTGAACCATACGCAATGTCGCACGTATCATTGAAAGGCTTTGATATCGTTTCGTTTTTTATTGACTTTGTAAACTTAAACCAGAAATCCAGTATTTCCGTTATCGGAAGCTGTCCTAATGCCGTCTAAAATAAGATCAACTTAGGGGAAATATAATACGTCGCAAATTTCCACTCGGTTCCTCTTATTGAAACACAGCCGGTTCTCTTAATTCTTCGCAATAATTCGAAATAATAACGAAATTTGTCTAAACATTCTAACTAAATCGAATTACAGTAGATTTATTGGTAGTTCAACTGAATTTTATAACCTTAGAGATCAGATATGTTTGTGATTTTTTTTTCTCTTATTCTTTGTGATGAATTAATACATCAAAATAACAG